TTCTTTTTAGTTGCGGTTGACAATTCTTGACGAAAAAATAATGAACGTTGATATAAAACTAAAGAATGTAACTTAAAACTTTGTCCTCTAACATTAATTATGACATTATAATCGTATTCAGTTTCAAGAAGTTGTGCAAAATCATTAGAGAAACGTTCGAGTAATTTAGTGCCTATTTGCGACATTTGATAGTGTTTGTATTGTCATTGTTACGGATGTCAATTTATGTGATACAATATGATTTATGGTGTCACACAGAATTTCTCGAATGGTATCACTCAACCTGCAGATATTGTGTACCGCGATTATTCACGGATAACCCAATTTCCCCGACAACCACTTATATAAACCAATTTCCCCGACAACCATTTACTCGACACCCATTTCGCCAACGGCATTATACCGACAACCTATTTCCCCGACAATCCACTTTCCCGAAACCATTTCCACGACAGCCCATTTCCCCGACAATTCATCTCGCCAACAATTTTAGCTTGATTTTTGATTAGGGTTGGTCGCTTTATAGTTAGTGTTAGCTAGTGATTGTCAGTAAAATAAACTGTTGAGATAATAGGCTACTGGGGAAATAGTTTTGGAGAAGTGTGCTATCAGTAAAATAGCTATCGACAAAATGGTTGTAGCGTAAATGGTTATCAGGAAAATCTACCAAAGCCCACATCTAATAGTTTATATTCATTTATTTTATTTTATTTATGTTTGATTAATAGATATTCAAAAAAAAATTTAACAATAGAGCTAAAAGCAAATTGTTAAAAAATCCTTGTCATGAAGAATATTGTAAAATCAATAATGATAATAATAAACTTTAATAAATTAGCTTTAATAAATCAGTAAATATTAAATATAAGTCTCTAAACACTTAATATTTTAAATACATCTTTTTTTTTTATATTCAAATACAATTTATCTTTAATAATAAATAAATCTTAAATACTAGAAGCTAAAAATATTCCAGTACCCAAATCTGAAAATACAAAAAAATATATTGAAATAAGCATTATAGATGATTAAGCACTAAAAAAATTATATTAAATATATAAATTTATTATTATTTTCATTATTTTCTATTAATCTTATATCATTATCGTCTTAAGATTTTAACAATTTAATAATATTAGCCGCAATAAAAGAATCAAAACTAAATAAAACATAATTATTAATACCTTTAGGACAAACTTCAATAAAGCACTTCATTAATTTTTTTAATTCTTCATGAACAGTTTCAATATATGGATGTTTATCTAGTTTAGTATTCCAACATTTTATATAAAGATCACTATATTCTTTAGAAGTTTTGAAAATGATTTCTTCTCTATGATCTTGAATGATGTAACTAGATAAAATACTGGGTGAATAATTTCAAATAGCTAATGACAACTAGTTAATTCC